ATAGCAGAGGCTGGTATTCATAGAATAAAATTACTCAGTAAAAAGGGAACCAAAATAATCAAAAAGTAAAAACTTCCAGGCCTTTAGGTGTGGTTAATTTTGTGAAAATAACAGATTCAGCCTTAAATGCACAGGATTTATATTTGGTTTTGCAGAGTTTTGCTGTTGTTCACAAAAGTTATCTGAAAACTTAAACAAGGCATGGACTGTCTACTTTGAGTACTGATTACCTTAGCCAGCATATTTCCGTCTATGGTTTTGGTAACCTATTCCATATCATGGGTGGCCCAACTACTAGGGAAACAAAAAGACAGTGAGTATCCCTGCTATCACACATTTTCTGTTTTGTACCTTTATTCATTCTACTTCCTAGAACAACACCTTTTCCTCTCTCTGTCCTTTAAAGTCATTTTTTTTTTAAGTTTGGAATCTTGTGGATATTCATTTATCTCGCTGCCAGAATTTAATGGTTTCTAGATGTAGGCTCTGTTTTATTTTATAGAATTGGATCTCGTAGGCAACTCTCTTATTATATTCACAATTCCCCACATTGTCTAATTTTAAGGTACTTACAAGTATAAAACCATTGCTATAGGATAGGTGTTTAGCTTTTATAACTTAAATTTAATATCCAATTAATATAATATAAGTAAGTGCTTGCTTCCTGCACCATTATGATCTTGCTCTGTGATCCAAAGTTTTTTTTTAAATGATTGTAAAATATATGTAACATAGAATGTACCATCTTAGCCATTTTAAAGTGCGTAGTTAATTGGGGTTATGTATAATCACAATGTTGTGCAACCAATCTCAAAAGCTTTTTTTTTTTTTTTTTAAATGCCTATTAACATCTTATTCAGAGACTTTCCCAAAGGCTTAACCTGAACATTTCCCTCAGAGGTTACATTTTACCAGGAATTTCTATTTGGGGATATTTATCTTTTACTTTTTCATGTATCTGAACTGTGTTTCCTATTGGATTGTAAGCTTTCTGAGGGTGTTTTGAATTGGGCATGAAGAATGATAGGAATTTGGGTTGGTGGAGAAGGGAAAAGCTGCCCCTAGGAGAGAAACTGTATAAACCTAGGTCCTCAGGACCAAAAGAACAAGGTACTTTTTCAGGAATGTTAAGTAGACTCATTTGCTTATTTTGCTTACATGAGTAGAGTAGAAGGAGATGAAGCTGAGAAAATAGGAAATGACCCTTGATGTTGAGTTGGTCAGATATGAAGATTATCAGTGCCTCACTTTGGTCAGTTGATTATTCTCAGGTAGGAAGGGCTCAGTGGAGAGTTGGAGGAGAGTGGACTTACTCTTACTGTACCTTTCTTTTATTCTCAGATTACCCCACTAGAAGAAAAGGGGGCCAATGTTGTGATAGGATGCAAAGCACATTGGGTTCAGGAGACAGTAGACCTGGAAGATTGTCATTTCTGGGCTTTAAGTTAACCTTCTTTGTAACATGATGGAGAGGAAGGATGGTCTTAGCTGCCTTCTGGTTCTAATATACTGTGATGCCATGGCACACTTTAAATCTTTGGGTTAGAGCTGCCACTAAGACCTGTTTCACCCATTTATGAATTGTTTAGTTCAGAGGGCTGCAAACTTTTTCTGTAAAGGGTGAGATAGTAAATGTTTTAAGTTTTGTGACTACTGCCTCTGTTGCATATTATTTTTTTGTTTTTTCACAACATTTTAAAAAATGTGAAAACCATTCTTAGCTCAAGGGCCAGACAAAACAGGCATGGCTGGTTTTGGCCTCCAGGCTGTAGGTTGACTCTTTAGTTGACTGAGGACAGTTACTTGTTAAGGTTTCTAGAATTTAGAAATCAAGACCAGCTTTGTGATAGTGTTTTCCATCCATTTTTATGGACTACTTATAGGTCATTTTTTTCTAAGAGTCAGGAAACTAATGTATATTAAGAATTCTCCATCTTTTTTTTATAGTCTAAATAATCTTGTGTCTCAGATTATGTCCCTTATTTCTAAGTGCTTGAAAACTCATCCTTATTGTTTGTATTCTGATTAACACACATATATTTCCTGTGTTATATCCTTAATTTCTAAGGCTATTTTACTCATATTTACTAGCTATTCTCTGATAAACACATGTTGTTCTAGTACTCTTAATGGTTATTAGTAAAAATAATGTAATTTATTTGTATCTTATTTTAAACTATGAACAATTTAATACATTTCGGATACAATATATAATAAGTTCAAACATCAGACCTGAGAAAGCAACATATTATACAATTGTAATTTAAGAAGTGATTTAATCTCTATGTCCATTGCTTGAAAATCATTTCTGGATTAGACTCTCCTATATGTTCTCGCCAGTGTTTTGCTTCTTATGTGTTGCTCCCTACAATACAGTGGGTATCTCAGGTCTTCTTATCATGAGAAGTTAGTGCAGTTTTTGATTTTTATGTTTGTTTTTATTTTATGTTTTTTATGCCCAGCACGGAACCTGATGTGGGGCTTGATGTCACAACCCTGAGATCATGACCTGAGCCAGAATCAAGTGTCAGATGCTTAACTGACTGAGCCACCCAGGGGCCCCTAGTTTTTGATTTTTTAACTACTCTCCCCACTATCTTGAATTTCTGTGCTTTCTGCTAAAACAAGTATTTCCTGTGTTATTATCATTTCTTGTTGAATAAAACTTGTTCGTTATATGTCTTGGCTGTTTCTGTTTGATTAACGTAATACTTTTTGTTCTCTTTGCTTAATGCTTTGTCTTCATTGTCACATTTTTTTCTTTCTAGATTTCACTTATATTTTTCTACAGTTTCTTAGTTGAAGTTTTAGACACTTTAGCCATTTTTATAGCTGTAAAAACCTTTAATCCTTTAAGTAAATGCTCAGAACTCATGAAATTTTAATGGTGGTTATCAAGGCATATAATCTTATAAACACATTCATATAATCCAGAACAATGAATTCAAAACAACTGATACATGTTCATGTTATAGATGATAAATGTTCAGTTGTAGGAATTTTAAGCTTATTTTCAGAAAGATTAGGTCAACAAATAATCACTAATGCAGATGGTTCTTAGAAATAATTGTGACCTACCTCTTATATGCCAATGTAAGGATTATTTTTAAAAGGCGTGGTTTGTAGATTGTCTGTCAGTGCTTCTACTGACTACAGTGATCACTTGAGAGGCAGGTCTCACTGAACTTTGGGGAAACAGACCCAGTGCAGAAGCATACCTCTGCTGTGTAGGCTGCTGTTTGTACGTGGAGGCCTGCAATAAATACTGAAAGAATAAATTAATAAAACCCCAAACGCATTTAGGATCAAGCTCTGGTTCTCAGTAAAATAGTATTAAACATAAAGTTTCTCTTAAGCCCCTTTACAATCAGTTCTTTCACATGACCTTCAGCTCCTGTAGCAACTGATCTGCTTTCTGTCTATAGTTTATACATACACAGAAAAATTGAGCAGACAGTGCATAAAGTTCACATGTGTGCCTTTCACACAGTTTCCCCTATAAGTCCTTAAGCATTTTTGATATTTAATTTTAATTATTTCTTATTCTTATTTATTAACTAATCATTTGGACATTTAGTTTGTTATTTCCATTTCTTTGCAGTCATAAATGAGCTATGATCTAAGTCTGGATTTTTTATTATTTAGGACAGATTTCTGGAAGAGAAGTTACTAGGTAAGAGGGTTTGAACTTTTTAAAGCTCTTGTGTATTGCTTTCCATAAAGAGTTTACCAGTTTATACTACCATGAGCAGTGTGCAAAGATGCCCATTATATTGCCTTATTATATTATTATAATATCTATTATGTTACATTACATTGTCATTTGCAGCTCTCAGTATAGTTTAGTATGCTATAGTAACAAATAATCCCCCAAATCTCATGGTTTAATGCAACAGGTTTTATTTTTTACAACAAAGGTCATGTTACATGTTGAACACATATCAGCAGGTGGTATTCTCTCTTGGAGTTACTTAGTGAATCACCCTGATCAAAGCTCCTTTTGTTACTTGTTTTCGTAATTACTGTAGTGGGTAGGTCTTCTGGTTGTGTACTGGTTCCTAAAGCTTATTCCTGCTGATGTTTCATATCATGTTTACGTACACCTTAGTGACTAAAAGCAAGTCAATGTAGCCACACCCAACTTGAAACAAGGGCAGTGAAGTGCGATCCTACTGTGAGTCTGGGAAGGAGGAGAACTGGGATAGCACTACACTTGATCTTAGCCAAAAGGCCAAGAAGCTATTGGGATAGCTGTAATGACTAACATCTTAAAAAACAACTCTAATTTCACTGATGGAAAATGACATCTCATTTTAATTAGATTTTCTTTGCTCATGTAGATAAACATTTTCATAGTTTTTTCACCAGTTTTATTTAACATTTCCTTTTATTTAAGCTTTATAAAATATACTCTTGGTTTACTTTTATATTTCCAGATTTTTATATTCTCTTTTTTTGTGAGGATGGGAAGTCATGATGGTGGGATTATTATAGGGAGTACAGACTTTTAGAAAATGCCTTTTCTTTTGAAGCCTTGAACTGGTGAAAGGAAAATGTCTTTCTTGGATTGATCTTCCCGTCATACCCCTAGCCCCATTAGTATAGTATATATTTTGTTAAGTGTAATTAAAGGCAATACAGGGACACCTAGGTGGCTCAGCTGGTTAAGTGTCTGCCTTTGGCTCAGGTCATTGTCCTAGGGTATTGGGATAGAGCCCCACATCAGTCTCCTTTCTCATCAGGGAGCCTGCTTGTGTTCTCTCTCTCTCCGACAATCAATAAATAAAATCTTAAAGAAAAAAAAAGGCAATAGAGGGTCTGGCAGAATTAAGATTCTTGACGTTCTACAGATTTGTAAAACACAAACACAAAAATTTAGTGAGTAAATGATCAAGTTAGGGTTCTACTGAAAAAATTAAGTTCCCTTCTCAGATTTAGTTATATTGACCATGTCTTTTTTTCTTCTTCTCCTTCTTTTTTTTTTTTTTTTTTCAATTCAGGTATCTGCCTGAACTGGAACTCATGCTGTAGACATTTCTTTGTGGATTCATCTAAAAATCTGAGGTGAGATATTCTTTTAATGCATTTGCCTTATAAGATATATTTTATAATGAGAGAGAATTATTTTTGAAATATTTAAGGCAGTGCCAACTGTTTTTTCCTATGAGAGTTTAATGGGTAAATATTATTTATGACAAAGTTTACATATATAGCATGCTTATTTTTAGTTTGTAGGACATTTGATTGAAGGAAATGAAGCTGGTTCTGATGGTTAGAGTAGTTTTGAGTGAATTTTTCCATGTAATTCCAAAGGAATTTTTCTTTTATACTTTTATATTTTAAGACAGAGTTCACACTGCTAGTCTGACACACATTTGAGAATGATATTGGCATTTTAATCTGGTATTCCTGAAGACAGATCCTTAATTTGTTAAGTCATCAATTTCAACAGCTGATAACTATTTTAATAAGTCAGTTATTAGGAATTTTCTACCACTCTATTCTCTTGGACTTGATTATGTTCTGTAGTTCCCTCGGTCTGGGGGGCTTATAAAATAAGAACATATCCTTTAGTATGTTAGTAGTTGGTTTCTGTAGAAAGTTTCCAGAATAGCATTTTACTCTAAAGATAGGCTCATAGCCCTTTTCCTTTTCTGGCATGTCTGGGCTCCACTTCTCTTCATCTTTTAATTTTTTAAGCAACCATTCTGTCATCTGGTCTTTCCACCTAGAATCCAGCTACTCTCTAAGCCATTCTTGTCACAGTCATGAGATTGCTTTTTCTAAAAGATGATTGTTGTCATGTCAGTCTGAAACTCAGAATCCTTCAGTACATTTACATTGCTTAAAGGATATTTTACAAACTCCTTTACAGAGCAGTATAATCTCTTTACCCAGTTTTCCATCTCACTAGTGCTCTAGGAATGTTATGAACTATCATTTTTAAAAAAAAAATTATTGAGGAATAATTTACATACCTTAAAATTTACCCATTTATTTAAAGTGTACAATTCATTGTCATTTTTTTTTTAAATTGTAGTTACGGAGTTGTACAGCTGTCAGCACAATCTAATTTTAGAATATTTTCATCACCGCAGGAGTGCCTGGGTGGCTCAGTTGGTTGGGCATCCAGCTCTTGATCTCCGCTCGGGTCTTGATCTCTGCTCCAGTCTTGATCTCAGCGTCTTGGGTTCAGGGCCCAGGATGGGCTTTGTGCTGGGTGTGGAACTTACTTTAAAAAAAAAAAAAATGTTTTTAATTGAATATTTTCATCACTCCTAAGAGACACTGGTACTTATTAGCGGTCACCACTCATTCCTCCCTCTACTCAATTCCTGTCAGGTACTCATCTACTTTCTGTCTCTATAGATCTGCCTCTTCTGGATATTCTATGTAAATGAAATTGTACAATATGCAATCTTTTGTGACTTATTTTTTCTACTTAGCATAAAGTTTTCAAGGTTAAACCATGTTTTTGGATGAATCAATACTTCATTCCTTTTCATGGCTGAGTAATATTCCATTTTAAGTGTCCGGTCAGGTGACCTAGCAATAGAGAAACCTGAACTTCCAGGTGTCAGGGTAGCTAATCAAAAACAGTGATCCAAAATGAAAGTAACAGTTGAGACTTTATTCACTTATTGAGATAGAATAAGCAAGAGGCTAAATCTCGGAAAGTGCAGGTGTCCCACTCAGGTGGATCTGCATAGAGATGGGAGGTGGCTCATTTCACTGCAGAGGGAATGCCAGACAGGAGGTTCCTGCATTTTTATGGACCCAGGGCTGGTTCAAGAGTGAGGTGGAGGGGCTTGGAATTGAAAAGCACAGAGTCAGAGTAGAGAAAAAGTGTCTTCTGTGTTTCCTCCCTGATGAAAAGGCCACAGATAGACTCCTGAATGAAGTCTAGGGCCTGGGTTGGGAATGTAGCCATGCTTAAGAACATGGTCAGCCAGGGGAGCCCGAGTTCCTGGCTACAGCTCTCTTCAGAGACTGCAGTGCACTGGCTGTGTACCCAGTACCATGTGGGTAGGACAGCTTTCCCCTGTGAGGCCTGCCAGGTAAGGCCTTTGTAATTGCTTATGGTCAGGCTGGAAAATTACACACAGAGATTTTAATTTTTTGGTCAGGAGCCAGACTCCTCAGTATAGATAGATAGATAGATACACCGCATATTTTACTTATCCATTCATCAATTGGTGGACATTTGTTTGGGTTGTTTCCACCCCCCCCCCCCCCACATTTTGGCTATTCTTTTTGCTATGAATTTCTATGTGTAAGTTTTTGTGTGCATATGGTTGCATGTCTTTTAGGTATATACCTAGAAGTGTAATTTGCTGGGTCATTTGGTAACTCCATGTTTAACAATTTGTGGAGCTGTCAAATGGTTTTCCAAAAGACTGTATCATTTTACATTCCTACCAGCAATGTTTGAGGATTCCAGGTTTATCATGTCCTCACCTACATTTGTTACTATCTCTCTCTCTCTCTTTTTTTAAGTTTTAGACATTATAGTGAATGGGAAGTTGTATCTCATTGTGGTTTTGATTTATGTTTCCTTAATGAATAATGATATTGAATATCTTTTCATGTGCTAATTGGCCATTTATATATCTTTTTTGGAGAAATATCTATTTGAATCCTTTGCCCACTTAAAAATTATGTTGTTTACCCTTTTATTGTAAGAGTTTTTTAGATATTCTGGATACAAGTCACTTATAAAATACGTGATTTACAAGTATTTTCTCCCATTCTGCGAGCTGTCTTTTTACTTTCTTGATATTGTCTTTTGAAGAATATATGTTTTTAATTTTTATCTATTTTCCTTTTGTTGTTTGTGCTTTGGGTGTTATATCTAAGAAACCATTGCCTGATCTAAGTTCATGAAGATTTACTCATATTTTCTTCTAAATATGAGCTCTTAAATATAGGTCTGTGGTCCATTTTAAGTTAACTTTTTTGGGGTGGGGGTGGGTAGAGGGAAGATGGAGAGAGAGAGAGAGAATCCCGAGCAGATTCCAGACTTCATGCCTATTGTGAAGCCTGATGTGGGACTCAATCTCATGACTCTCATATGACCCACATATGACCTGTGCTGAGAGCAAGTCATGCTTAACCAACTGAGCTACCCAAGTTGAGTTAATTTTTGAGTTAATTTTTGTGTTAATTTTTTTTGAGTTAATTTTTGTGTATGGTTTGAGATAGAGGGTTCAGCTATCCAGTTGTCACAGACCATTAAATTATCTTGGACCCTTGAAGAATATCATTTGCTGTAAATGTAAGGTTAGGTTTCTGGACTTTCAGTTCTATTCCAGTGATTTATAGATTTCTCCTTATGCCAGGAAGTTTTAAAATCATGAAATATGAGTTCTCCAACTTTGTGCTTCCTATTGAAGATTATTTTGGCTCTTCTGGATCCCTTGCATTTCCATATGAATTTTAGGATTAGCTTGTCAATTTCTACCAAAAAAAATCCAGTTGGATTTTGATGGGGATTGTTTTGAATTTGTATTATGAATCTGTAAATCAGGTTGGAGATTTTATAATAGTGTGTTCTCCAGTCTGTGAACATGGAGGTCTTTCCATTTATTATGTGTTAATTTCTTGTAATGATGTTTTATAGTTTTTAATGTATGTCTCCTACTTTTGCTAAATTTGTTCTTAAGCCCTTTAGTTTTGGGATACTATTGTAATGAAATGTTTTCTTTCATTTTGGAATTGTTCATTGCTAGTGTATGGAAATATAATTGATTTTTGTATCATGCAACCTCACTGAACTGTTAGTTCAACCAGTAGTTCTAATTGTTGTTAATATATTACTATGAAGTTTTAATATATAAAATATATAAGATATGTTTTATATTTATATATTTTGTATATTAAATATATTTATATTTATATTTTACATGTATAAAATTAATTATATATAATTATGTATATAATTATATACAAAATCATGTCATCTACAAATAGTGATAGTTTTATTTTCTTCCGTTCAAATCTGGATGCATTTTATGTCTTTTTCTTACTTAAGCATCCTGGCTAAAACCTTCATTTCAATGTTAAATAGAAGTGATTAGAGTGGACATCCTTGTCTTGTTCCTTAGGGTGAAAGCTCTCAGTCTTTCAGCATCAAGTGTGATGTTACCTGTGGTTTTTTGGTAACTGTCCTTTATCATGTTGAAGTAGATTCCTTTTATTCCTAGTTTGTTGACTGTTTTTTGCCATGAAGGAGTTAACATTTATTGAGAAATCAATGTAAGCCAGGTCCTGTGCTCAGTGCTTTATAAATAGTATTTAATTTTCATTATAGTCCTGTAAGATAGAGACTTATTTTACCTTTATTCAGCTGGTAAGTGGTAGAATCAGACTGGTTGGTTTCAAAACTTGTGTGCTCAACCATTATCCATCAAATTCCCTATACAGACTATGTTGATTTATACATGTGCCTTTGTCCATGTTGGTTTCCTCCTCCTAAAATGCACACTCCCTCTCCTTCCCCTTTACAAACCTACCATAGCATTTTGTAGCTGTCTCTATCATAGTACTTTTTCACTGTGTTGTGACAGTTTGCATTGATTTCACTCATTTTAGAGTCTTTGCTTGAAGTCAGGGACTTTGTCATACTTGTTTTTGAATCTTCACTGCATAATAGATAGGAAAGAGATGTGTCACAGAAGTCAAGGGATTTGAGAGTTTCAGGAGGGTGGAAGCAGTCAGCAGTGTCAAGTACAGCAGAGGGATGAAGTAAAATAAGGTTCACAAAATGCCTTACCTATAGGTTTCATCTTAAATGATTTCAGCAAGAGTGTTTTTAAGTTGCAGTGGGGACTAAGCAAGATTGTGGTAGATTTGAGAAGTGAATGGGAGATGAAGAGACTGTCTCAGGTAGAGACTGTCCCCACTCATGTGAGAGTTTAACTGTGAAGGGAAGAATGAATTTAGGATCCTGCCTAAAGGGGAATGTAAGCTAATTTTTTTTTAAAGGGAGGGGCTTGCGCATGCATCTATACAGAGGTGGCAGGAGAAAGGACAAGTTAAGAGCAAGCTTGTAGAAGTAGAGAGAG